GATGCACCATGTTTTATGGGTCTCATGTGTAGTGCTGGAGAGATACCTGTAAAATCGTACGCAAGTAGAGATACCATTACTTGCCAAAAATATATAGTACAAGTAGGGTAGGTGAAGCGGTGGTAGTGCTGTTGACAGCAAGAAGGTCACTAGTTTGAGCCACGGCTGGGTCCATTGGCATTTCTGTGTGGAGTTGTAGTGTTCTTAATGCTAAATACATTTACATTTAGTCATTTAGCAGACGCTTTTATCCAAAGCGACTTACAAATGAGGACAAGGAAGCAATTTACACAACTATAAGAGCAACAATGAATAAGTGCTGTAGGCAAGTTTCAGGTCTGTAAAGTGTAAGAAGCAAAGCATTAGTAATGTAAGTTTTATTTTTTTTTTAATTATTATTATTATTATTTTTTAGTACAGTAATGCCGAGTTCAGACTGCATGATTTTCAAAGTAGTCGTGTCACAGATGTTTTCACACTGCATGACTATCTGGGCTAGCGTTTCGTCGCTGGTTTGTTTACACTGCAAGATGGTTTGGCGACATGGACATTCACATTGCATGACTTTACTATAGGGAGAATCGCCGACAACTTCGTCCAAACTACGTCTCACAACCAAAAACACGTAGTATATCTTTTGTTATTAACTACATAATGAGAAAGAAGCCTTTAAAGGGGTAGAACATGTACATGTTTGCTCACCTGGGTTTAAAGGGAATTAGCCATTTCTCCTCAACTTAAGTTGATAATAAACTAATTTCTTTCTGTATGAAACGTCAAACAGACACGGTTGCTCCTGAGTCCTGTCAAACCTCCACTAGTTTTTCCTCCATTTCGTGGGTTCAAATAAACCAAAAAAGAGCACTTTTAACTTCTCCCCCAGCCTCCTGCTGGCCTGCAGCAGGTACACACACACACACACACACACACACAAGTGAAAGCTGCTCTCTCATTGGCTGTAGGCGATCGCTGATGTTATTTTCAGTCAAAACTCAATTCACACGGCATGATTTGAATCGCCGACAGCTCCAAATATTCAGCACGCCAAATATCTCACAGGCATCGGCGACTCATCAGCGATTCTCTCAGATCGCGTCTTTGATCGTTCATACTGTGTGATTGTCACTCACGTGCACGAGCAGCGATTTGCCTGTGATTTCAGGCATTTGTCGGCGATTTCTCAAAACCTGTCGGCGAGCCAAAATCGGGGCTAAAATCACGCAGTCTGAACTAGGCATTAGTGGTGCAGCCAGAGAGGCAATTGCAGATTAGGAAGTGAAGTGGAGACTAAATAGTTGAGTTTTTAGTCGTTTCTTGAAAATAGCGAATGACTTTGCCGTTCTGATACAGTTAGGGAGTTCATTTCACCAACTTGGCAGATTGAATGCGAGAGTTCGGAAAAGTGATTTCTTCCCTCTTTGGAATGGAACCACGAGGCGACGTTCATTTTGCAAGTTTCTGGAGGGCACATAAATCTGCAGAAGTGAGAGCAGATAAGAAGGAGCAAAGCCAGAGGTCGCTTTGTAAGCAAACATTAGAGCTTTGAATTTGATGCGAGCAGCAACTGGCAGCCAGTGCAAACGGTTGAGCAGCAGAGTGACATGTGCCCTTTTAGGTTCATTAAAGACCACTCGTGCTGCTGCATTCTGAAGCATTTGAAGAGGTTTGATAGAGTTAGCTGGGAGCCCGACTAGTAGAGAGTTGCAATAGTCCAGTCTGGAAAGAACAAGAGCTTGAACAGGAAGTTGAGCTGCATGTTCAGATAGGAAGGGTCGGACCTTTCTGATGTTATAGAGTGCGAATCTGCAAGATCAAGCAGTTCTAGAAATGTGGTCAGAAAAGTTTAGTTGGTCATCAATCGTTACTCCAAGGCTTTTTACCATTTTGGATGCAGTAATGGTTGCCCCATCCATCTGGATTGAAAAGTTATGATGTAGAGTTGGGTTGGCAGAAACTTCAAGCATTTCCGTTTTCCCGAGGTTAAGCTGAAGATGATGATCTTTTATCCAGTACTAATGCTTTCTTAAGCGTTGCATCAGACTTCCTCAGTTTGATGGAGCTGCTTATTGCTTCTTTAAACAAAACTCTAGCAGAAACACTGCCAGTAGCTCTGCTATGCAGTACACTAATACTGTGTGAGGTCTTGTGTAGACGTGTTTTTTTGGGGATATTGTGATGAGAGGTTAAACCACACTTTTTGCTGTGGTTCTTGCCTGCATGTTTGTGAACCTTGGACAGCAGGAAACAACAAAGGGAGGTGCTGATGTGAGAAGGACAGAGAAACATCTGCTTCTCGAGTGCACGGCTGCTGCTGACTGCATTTAATGATGTTTGGACATGCATACTTTTGCTCTCAATGACATTTGTATATGGCATCTAGGATGGAAGGAAATAACATCCGACTTACATTTTTTTTTACGGACACTAAATTGCAGTTCTGGGCTGCACTGATAAGGTAATAATCATTATAATAGTATCTACTAAGATGCAATAAATTTGAGTTTTGTTCTTAAAAAAATAGAAAGATTAGCAAAAATAGCCTGATTAAAAAATAAAAAAAACAATATACATGACTGATTATTTTACAATTTTGTAATGTCTAATGTTATTTATATTTTACAGTTTATTTATGTATATGTATGTAATCTGACAGATTTCTTGTCGTCAATCCCAGTTGTAAATAATGACTTCTAGTTGATCATTTGGAAAAGTGGCAGAAGGTAGATTTTTCCATTGAATCATCTGTTGGTTTGCATCCCAATCATCACAAATACTGCAAAAGACCCATATATCAAAGTATCAAGACTTGTGCTGCCTATTACATTACAAACTCCGAATAAGGCAAATTCTTAAGCAGGATAGCGCTCCTTCTCATACTTCAGCCTCCACCATCAAAGTTCCTAAAAGCAAAGAAGGTCTAAGTGCTCCAGGGTTAGCCAGCCCAATCACCAGACATGAACATTAAATTGAGTACGTCTGGAGTAAGATGAAGGATGAGGCACTGAAGATGAATTCTAAGGATCTTAATGAATTCTGGGAGACCTGCAACGACACTTTCTTTGCCATTCCAGATGACTTTTTTAATAAGTTATTTGAGTCATTGCAGAGATGTATGGATGCAGTCCTTCAAGCTCATGGGAGTCAGACACAATATTAATTCTGTTTCCACAGCACCATGACTTTATATTCTATATTTGACAATATTTCTGTTAAGTAACAAGACTTTTGTCTAAGCAAAGTTAGACTGTACTGTTTTAAACAACTAAAAAATAAGGCATGATCATATTTTATTTCGGTAAAATAAGCGTAATGTAGAGGTTTTCGCCTTTCATGTAAGCCACTTTTGATACCAAATGATCAACTAAAAATCAAACTATTATTTGCTGTTCCTTAAACTTGGATTGGTGGCAGAGAAAAGCAAAAGAAGACAAAAAAGTAACAAAAACTGTAAAACAGAACAAAAACAGCATAATAATACAGAAATGCAGAGATAAAAGGAAAAAAAACAGAAAAGCAAAGCAAAACAAAACAAAAACACAAAATAAAAAAAAATAAATCTAAAGACAATTATAAAGAAAAGAAACACAAAACAAAACACCCTGGAAAAAACACTGAAGCAAAGGAATAAAACAACAACACAAAATAAAGCAAACCAAAACGAAATAGGTGACACATTGTCGCAGTGGATAGCATGTTCGCCTAACAACAAGAGGGTCGATGGTTAAAGCCTTGGCTGGGTCAATTGGCATTTCTATATGGAGTTTGCATGTTCTCCCCATGTTCATGTGGGTTTCCTCCGGGTGCTCCGTTTACCCCACAAGTCCAAAGACATGTGGTACAGGTGAATTGGGTATGCTAAAATTGATCGTAGTGTATGAGTGTGTCAATGACTGTGTGTTTCCCAGTGATGGGTTGTGGCTGGAAGGGCATCCGCTGCGTAAAAAAAAAAAATGCTATAGAAGTTGGTGGTTAATTCCGCTGTGGCGACCCCAGATTAATAAAGGGACTAAGCAGAAAAGAAAATAAATTAATGAATGAAAAACAAAATAACAAAAGAAAACAAATACATAACATAAAACACTAAGCAAAAATCAAACACAAAGTTGAACAAAAAATAAAAAACACCCTAGAAAATTCTAAAGAAAAGAAACAAAAAAAAACATAAAACACTGAAAAATTAACGCTGAAGCAAAGAAAAACAAAGCAACACAAAATAAAGCTAAATAATAAAAAATAAATAAAAAATAAAACAACAAGAAAAAAAAATCAAACAAAAAGTTGAACAAAACATAAAAAAGCACCCAAAAAATTCTAAGGAAAAGAAACACAAAACAAAAAGCATAAAAACACTGGAGAAAAAAAAAACATTGAATCCAAGCAAAACAAAACAACACAAAATAAAGCAAAATAAAAACAAAATAACAAAATAAAACAGTAAGCAAAAAATCAAACACAAAGTTAAACAAAAGATAAAAAAGCACCCGAGAAAATTCTAAAGAAAAGAATCTCAAAACAAAAAACATAAAACACTGAAGCAAAGGAAAACAACAAAAACACACACACACAAAATAAATCAAAATAAAAAACAAAATAAAATAAATAAATAAAAAACGATATGCAAAAAATCAAACACAAAGTTAAACAAATGTTTAAAAAAAGCACCCAAGAAAATTCTAAAGAAAAGAAACACAAAACAAAAAAGCATAAAACACTGGAGAAAAATAAACATTGAAGCAAAGGAAAAGAAAACAACATAAAACAAAGCAAACTAAAAACAAGATTACAAAAAAACAAATAAAATAATAAGCTAAAAAAATCAAACACAAAGTTGAATGAAAGATTAAAAAGCATCAAAACAAACAGCAAAAGCAAAGCAACAAAACAAAACCCAATAAATAAACAAATAAACACACATTAAAACAAACAAATGCACATGTCATAATCCTGACACAGCACAGACTCTGTGGCCTTTTCAAGCACTAAAAGTGTGACTTCCATACCTGTGGCTAAGCTGGGACCCCCGTAAGCTGGACATGGTCTCTTCCAGGTTCTGCCGGAGGTCGAGGACATTTTGAACAGTGCGTTTCCTCTGGGACTCGGGATCTGCAGGAAAGAGCAGAGGATGAGCGGATGCTTAATGCAGGCATTTAGCAGCGATGTGGCCAAACACACACAAACACACCCATGTGCATTAAGATTTAACGCTTGGTGGAGACGAGCCAATGAAAACATCAGCGTATATCTACAGTAGATGCATGATATCGAGCCACTCGCACACGTACAGTCATCTCAGCTTTCAGGAGAAACACAAACAGCTTTCTTTCACAACGCGGCAGTGGAATATGACGATTCAGCAAGCGGGCAGGAGTCGAATGAATTAAACATTACATTTCCACCAGGATGCCAAAAGCACTTTGAGCTACTGTACTAGCAAGCTCACTTAAACAGGACATTAGTATTTGTAAAAGGTCTCCTTTCAGTTTAATTGCTTTCTTTATTTAGGCAAATGTGCTTATACAGATTTATTTGACATTCGAGCTGTAAAACTGGGGAGAAATGCATTATACGTCTTAACTCTTGACATGTTTTAAAACTGCTGACAGTAAAAGTGCTGTATTTGGTTTAATCAGCCTTCCCTACTAAAAACACAGCGGTTAAACAGCGTTAGATCATAAAACCACACAGCACAGTTTATAAAGTAGAGTTCCCCCTCCGTTTATCAGTTCATCAGTTTAGCTTCAAATACACACAGACTGAGACGTATTACTGCTCACCATACCTGCCAACATTGGGATCATAAAATCTGGGAGAGTTTCTCCGGGGGTGTGCGCAAAGTGAAGGGGGTGGGGGGGTGTGGCGCAAACTGGCGCAAACTGAAGAGCAGGGAGCGGGTATGAAGATGCTTGCGCGTTGGGTTCGGTGCGCATGGGGACTGAACCTAAAAGCTAGCTGGACTGTACCAAAAAAGCTGAGGAAGGGGGGAAATTGAAGGGGGGATGCCACCTAAAGTTACAAAAACAATGGCACATCTGATTAGTGATCATGTAATGAATGTCAATTTAGCATTTACATATTTCGAAGAGTGGATAAAAGACTTCCAGTGTTTAAAATCCACGATGAAAATGACTAAAAGATTCACCGTAAAGCCGGTGGGACGGAGTTTTCAGGTAACAGTGTTTGCCACTGAATCTACACATTTTAAGCACGAGATGTTCTAACGTTATTTAATCCTTCATTTAATCATCATGATGCTGTCAGTTGTACAACTGATACCGCGTTCACCATCGCTAAAGAGCATACATTCACTGAGATGAGACTAATATTGCAACTCATGAAAAGACCATTACTGCTATTAAGATGACGTATGCAAATAAAGTTATTTGTCAATATCATCTGTGCACCCGTAAGAATTATAAATCAGAGAAATCCTCTGGCTTTTTATTTTTATTTTTTTTGCTGTATCGAAAACATACTGATCTGTGACACCACTGTGTTGTATCGAACCGAACCATGATTTTTGTAAACTGTTACACCCCTTATATATACACACATTTCTAAACAATAATTTTATTAACTCATTTCTAATAACTGATTTATTTTATCTTTACCATGATGACTGTATATAATATTTTACTAGATATTTTTTAAGACACTTCAATACAGCTTAAAGTGACATTTAAAGGCTTAACTAGGTTAATTAAGTTAACTAGGCAGGTTAGGGGAATTAGAAAAGTTATCGTATAACGGTGGTTTGTTCTGTAGACTATCAAAAAAATATAGCTTAAAGGGGCTAATAAGTTTGACCCTAAAATGGTACATAAAAAATTCAAAACTGCTTTTATTCTAGCCAAAATAAAACAAATAAGTATTTCTCCAAAAGAAAAAATATTATCAGACATACTGTGAAAATGTCCTTGCTCTGTTAAATATCTTTTGTATATATATATATATATATATATATGTATGTATGTATGTATGTATGTATGTATGTATGTATGTATGTATGTATGTATGTATGTATGTATGTATGTATGTATGTATATATATATATATATATATATATATATATATATATATATATATAT